CTGTTTTTATGAATGAATTGACATGTCGCATGCTCTTGCCAACATCCCACCCACCCACCCGCAATTTGGTTTGCAAAACCCATGCGGTGGCGATTGCGATGCATGCGTGGCGTTTTCTGGTGCATTTCTGCGGCCGCGCCAATCCTAGCACGCGCGCTCAGCGGCCAGCTAGTTTGGCGCCACCGATGCGGCCGCGGTGGCGCTGACCGCTGGGCGCATCCCAGCGGGCACTTCACTGCGAGTCGGCGACTGGGGCGGGCTCGATGATGATAGTGGCGATGCCGGTGGCGATGTTCGCACCGACGATGGCGCGGCCAGTGCGGGCGCCGATGCTCATCACGCCGACGACGATGACGGCGTCCTCGCGTCGGTGATGAGGGCCTGGGAAGAGTTCGACATGCGCGCGCGGCCGACGTGGGAGAGCAGCCCGCATTGCTTTGTTTGACACGGATCGCGCCCCCCACCCAGCACGCGCGCAAGGGCGCGCGAATGATGTCTGCGTGCGAACGCAGAGGCCCGTTCGGTTGAATTCCTTGAGGATGTTGAACAACCTATGGATGTCAGAAAAAGTTGCCAGAGCGCGCGCGCGCGCGTTTTTCCCAACCCTCCTGTGTTGGTTTCTCGTATTGACTAGAGCAGTGTGGTCTCCACCTCTCCTCCTTCCCTCTCCTCCCCTCCTCCTTCTCTCCTGCTTCCTGTGTTTCCCGCTCCTCTTCTCTCGTGCCGTGGGGGGTGCGATCTGCGCAGCTGTCGCCACTTTCGCGGGCTCCTGGGAAGCCCAGCGGAGGTGCGTCACACGCGGATCACCACGGGACTTCGCCGCCTTTGGGGGGCTGCGATCTGCCCAGGTGTCGCCACTTTCGCGGGCTCTTCGGATGCCCATCGGAGGTATGTCATACGCGGATCACCACGGGACTTCGCCGCCCCTGGGGGGCTGCGATCTGCGCGGCGGTCGCGTCTCGTGGGCTCCCGGGAGGCCCAGCGGAGGTACGTCATACGCGGATCACCGCGGGACCTCGCCGCCCTAGAGGGGTTGCGATCTGCGCAATTGTCGCCACGTTCGTGGGCTCCTGGGAGGCCCAGCGGGGCTGCGTCATGCGCGGATCCCCACGGGACCTCGCCGCCCCTGGGGGTTGCAATTGCGCAATTGTCGCCATTTTCGTGGGCTCTTGGGAGGCCCAGCGGAGGTACGTCATATGCGGATCACCTCGGGACCTCGCCGCCCCTGGGGGTGCGATCTGCGCAATTGTCGCCACGTTCGTGGGCTCCTGGGAGGCCCAGCGGAGCTGCGTCATACGCGGATCCCCACGGGACCTCGCCGCCCTTGGGGGGTGCGATTTGCGCGAGTGTCGCCACTTTCGTGGGCTCCTGGGAGGCCCAGCTGAGCTGCGTCATACGCGGATCACCACGGGACCTCGCCGCCCCTGGGGGTCTGCGATTTGTGCAATTGTCGCCACTTTCGTGGGCTCTTGGGAGGCCCAGCGGAGGTACGTCATACGCGGATCACCACGGGACCTCGCCGCCCCCTGGGGTGCTGCGATCTGCGCAATTGTCGCCATTTCCGTGGGCTCCTGGGAGGCCCAGCGGAGGTACGTCATACGCGGATCACCACGGGACCTCGCCGCCCTTGGGTGTTGCGATCTTTCGTGGGCTCCTGGGAGGCCCAGCGGAGGTACGTCATACGCGGATCACCACGGGAATTTGCCGCCCATGGGAGGCTGCGATCTGCGCAATTGTCGCCATTTTCGTGGGCTCCTGGGAGGCCCAGCGGAGGTACGTCATACGCGGATCACCGCGGGACCTCGCCGCCCTTGAGGGGTTGCGATTTGCGCAACTGTCGCCATTTCCGTGGGCTCCTGGGAGGCTCAGCGGAGGTACGTCATACGCGAACCACCACGGGACCTCGCCGCCCCTGGGGTCTGCAATCTGCGCCACAGTCGCCAGTTTCGTGGGCTCTTGGGAGGCCCAGCGGAGGTACGTCATACGCGGATCACCACGGGACCTCGCCGCCCCTGGGGGGCTGCGATCTGCGTAATTGTCGTCACTTTCGTAAGCTCCTGGGAGGCCCACCGGAGGTACGTCATACGCGGATCACCTCGGGACCTCGCCGCCCCTGGGGGTCTGCGATCTGCGCCACAGTCGCCAGTTTCGTGGGCTCCTGGGAGGCCCAGCGGAGGTACGTCATACGCGGATCACCACGGGACCTCGCCGCCCCTGGGGGGCTGCGATCTGTGCAATTGTCGCCATGTTCGTGGGCTCCTGGGAGGCCCAGCGGAGGTACGTCATACGCGGATCACCACGGGATTTCTTGTTGCGCTCTTCTGATAGAGTTGTTGAGTGGCCCTGAGTATAATCGCACATGTCTAGAAATTGTTGGGCACGTCACAGGGCAATTGTTTGTTTGCTGATGTTGCGGAACCTGGTAGTTTCGAATGTGGTTTGGACATTCGGCTTTGAAATCGTTACGGAACCGAAGGTGTTTGAAGGACTTCGGCATGCG